GGATCAGTAGAGAGATTACGCAGGAAGAGAGGCTGACTGGAACGGCCCGGGAACTTTTCTACGCCCTGCTAGAAATGGGATGTCCTGTGTCAGTGAATAGGTCCCCAGGGTCTAAAATCCAAGAAAGACTACTTTCTGAAGCCTTTCAGCTGCAGTGCAAGTGGGGAACTCACAGAAGAGATTCTCTCTGCCCTGGCCAGCTTGCCTGAGCCCTGGAAGACTGGCTAGCAGTGAATCCTCAACTTTTGTTATTGTTTGTTGCCTCTTTGTAGTAATACTTCTTCATGTAACTAGCTCATATATGAATGGCTTCCACCTCACTGGACCCAGGCTGTAGATGCAACAAGCAGGGCCAACCAGCTCTGAGGGAACTGGGAGAACAATAGACCTTCTAAAACAGGCCCAGGCGCAGATGCCAGCTTGGGGGTGAGGGAGCTGGACATACAGCCAGAAATTATGCGGCCCAAAAGAACGGTTAATGGAACACAGACATACATGCACACAGATGTGAATGAACTGGCTGTCTGGATTGGGAAAGAAGAAATGTCAAGACAGGAGGCTGGTGCAGGAGTCCTGGCTGACAGACACCTGTGTGACTGCTCATTCCTGAAAGGCTTGGGAAGAAAGGGCTCAGATGGCCCCTGAGCTGCCTCTGAGGCAAGGAAAAAGAAGTTCATGACTAACGGTCCTTGCCATATCTGAGAGGGAACCAGGAGAACAGATTTGGACCAAAAAAACCCCCCAAACCAAAAATCCCTAGGGAAGTCTCCTGCAGCCTAGCTGGTGCTTCTAATTGTTAGGGGGCACTGAAGACCCAAATGTCTCAGTTTCAACAGGACAGTTAATGATGAGATTGAAGTTTCTGGACTCCCATGGGGGAGCAACGACTGTACTTCTATCAAAACCAAAGTGAAAAGTAAAAAAATTCACACTCAGCTGGGGTCCTCAAATATGAGAGCTACCTGACAATATTTCCTGGTCCCCTCCAGTGAAAAATTAAGCTGACGACATTAGAGGCTTATGGACAACACAATGACCCCTGGTGCTTATCTCTCTTTTTTCAAAATTTTATTGATAAACAGATAGCAATGAGACAGTTTCAAATCAAATCGGAAGTACAGTTTCAACAAATCATACACTGCATATATTCTTCTTAGTGGTTAACTGCTGTACAAGATGAGGACTTGAGATCCTATTTACAAACACCATTAGAACAAATCATTCTATTCATTAAAAGAATGCAACTATATATCTATCCTAACCACTTTGAATACACAGATACAAAATGGACATTCATTGGTATACCCCATTTTTCTAAGTTCTGTTATTGAATATTATAGGTGTGTAAACTTAGCAAAATATTCTAAAAGAGTCCAGTAGCCCATAATAGCATTGGGTCTTCTGTTTAACTGGCAATGACAGAAATTATTGACTTGAGTCCCCCACAGTTCAATATAACAACATGGCTTTACTTCCTATATTTCATCTTCATACTTTTCTACTGGATGGTTAAGACCAAGGTAAAGCAGGACCTGTGCAACAAGAGTTGTAGCTTTTGGGTCTGAGAAGGTCAGTGAAATGCCCTCAGGATTTATCCTGAGATCCTGTACCTCAGATTGTAGAACCTTTGTCATTGCAGCCATATGGATGAGTCACGGCCAATGCTTGGCCAGTGTGCTCTCTGTGAAAGCCTGAGAGAGTGTGGTGCTTATCTCTTTATCTGCTGATTGTGGGTCCTTTAGTCTGCTGCGTACAACACAGACACTGGCATTCTGGCTGCTGTGTCCATATCCCACACAGCTGAGGATCTGAGCTGTAACACTGGCAGAGCCACCCCTGCCGTACCTCGCTCCCCAAGTTCTAATGGGCTACTTAACAAGAATGGTTCTTCACATTGAGCAGGGAGCAGGATACAGTTGTGTTAATCTAAGACTTGATGCAGACGAAAATATTGCCAGTGATCCTGAGAACACGCAATGGCCAGGGATGGCTGGTTCAAAAGCTCTCCTGGGCATGAAGACCAGCAGTGGACTTCTGAAGGCTAAATGCCATGGTCATCTGGGTGGAAAGTTGAAGAAATACCCTGGATACATGCAAACAAAACCAACTGGGCCTGATTGTACCTTACAAAAAGGGAGTCCAGTAGCTACTAGTAGGTATCTTTAGGTGATAGAAACAGCATGCACCCAACCTGGGTATCCTTTTGTCCTCTTAGTCAAGGTGACCAGTAGCACCACAGACTTTAAGTAGGATCCTTTGCAACAGCCAGTCTTGGAAGCCATTCAACAATTTTGGCCCAGCCACCACTTTTAGTCCTGTTAGAATCTGCTAGTCCAATGGAATCACAGATGTTCAAATTTTCTATGTATATGATTAGAGAGTGTGTGTGTCTTTTCTCATTGCTGAGACAAAATGTCCAACACCCAAAGTTAAAGGAGAAAAGGTTTGTTTCAGCTCACAGTTCATAGAGCTTCTAGTTCATAGTCAGCTGGCTTCAGGGCAGGGTGGCATGGCAGAGAAGCATAGGAGAGAAGCGGTTCATGGTGCGACCGGCAGAAGGCAGGGAAGCAACAGCAGCAGCAGGATGCTTCTTTTTTTTTATCCCTTCCAGGCTATCTGCCTTTTGGGTGGTGCTACTCACACCTACACCCATGAACCACACAATCACCCTTCATCTATCAGTGGACTAATGTAGTAACCATGCTCCCTTATTTCCATCATCACATTGTTCATCCCAGCATCACACACCCTAGATCCAGCTACCTCTGAAAAGTCCCACCTATAACCGTATGAGGCTTTGGTGGAACATGTAGACAGAAGCCATTTACTGATACCTTTTTGATCTCCTATTTCAGAAAACTGTAGTTTTATTATAAAGGTCTTTCACTTCCTTGGTTAGGATATCTGCTAAGTATTGAATTTTTCTTGATGTTACTGTGAAAGGCATTGTGTTCTTAATTTTTTCTCAGTGGGTGTACAGGAACACTAATGATTTTGGTGCATTAAGTTTATGTCCTGCCACATTTCTGAATTTGGTTATTTATTCTAGAAGTCTTTTGGTGGTATTTTTGGGGTCTTCTATGTAAAGGATTATGTCATCTGCAACTAAAACAACTTTTTCCTTTCCTATTCCTTCCTTTCCTTTTCTTTTATTTCCTTCTCATGCATGATTGTTCTAGCTAGTCACTTGAGGACCATACTGAATAGTAGTA